TTTTTTTTTTTCTCGACAAAAACCGTAAGCGGTTAGTACTGTGGGACAGTTGTAAAATGGGAAAACTGATAATAGGTGTGTTAGAAATTTGCTTTTTTTTGAGCATTTTGATTTGCTTGCTGTTTAAGTTGGACATTTTAAATGACGGAATCAAAGTTTATAACTGTTAAACAGAAAAAAATTTTTTTAAACGGTATTTCGCTACTTAAACCATTGGGGCGTGCTGGTTGCTTCTTTTTTCGCATTTTTGTCAGTATTTGGGGAAAAAACAATTATATCTACAAAAAAAAAAAACATAGGACAAAACAGTCATTTGAATTTATTTTTTGCACTTACTTTCTTGCTCAATTTTATTCTCAGTTTCTGTAAGTTAATCATTGTTCAGTGTAAAGAACAATATCACTATTATCAACAGTGCTATACTATTCGTATGCTTTTTTTTGTCATACTTTTTGTTTAGACATCATAATAATGGAGTAAAATGTTTCTTAAAAAAAGAAAAGAAAATATTTTTGATGAACATTGGATGAAGAAAAAAGGTGAAACTCTCAAAGATTTTACTACAAATTCATTGACAGCAATAACAAGGGCAAAAAAGCAGCAAAAACGGCGGCAAAACAATTCCTCTTCCATGATATTGCTGTATGGAATGACAATGAACATATATTATGGGTGTATTTGTATACCATTATGGTCGGGTAGGTTTATTCAACCATTCTTCAATTCATGGAGCACGTTGCGATTTCAGTTGACTAGTTGCGAATCTGACAAAGCCAAAAAAAAAGCACTTTTGACTTAATGATTGCTGTATTATAAAACCATTAGGAAAATTATTTGCATTTACTCTCTTTTTTATTGTTCTTCTTCTAAATTTTTTGCCTTTTTTTTCTTCAAAAGTTAACATAAAAGTGAAGCAAATTGAAAGATTATATGAACTGCACAGAGCAATACCGGTCATTCCTTTTTTTAATAGTTATTAAGCTGCATTTTTTGTTTATTTTGGCCTTTTTTATATAACAATTAATTATTAAATCTTTTATTAGCATGAATGATGACCTCAAAATAATAGGGATAGCTGCAAAGGAACTGTGCAAAAAAAAGGAGCAGATAGAAGAACCAACAAGTTGAGGCACAGGAAAAAAACGTGATAAAAATGAGAAGAAAGGATTAAATCAAGTTGTGATCCCGTAAATAAAGAAACTTAAAAGAAAAAAAGATCAAGGAGACATTCGATAAACATTTGGATTTTCAACCAACTTTTCATCCTTTTTCGTGTTTTCTAGTCCTACGTAAATTCAAATCAAAAATGCAACTTTTAAGCTTGTTACCACTAAAATGCAGTGCTTGTTAAGGTTTATAACCATAAAAAAAGTTAGATTACTTTAGCACTTTAAGGTTTACTATTAGTCTAATGCAAGGAGAAAAGTATGGAGGTGGTGAAGGACAGAAACTGAACTTTGGAGATGCAAGAAGGCTTGAAGACACAACGTTGGGCGAAGAACGTGTAGTTTTTGCGTGAAGCCTTCATATACTTATATATGAACTTCGTTGAAACAATAGGAGTAATGAAGTCTATAGTTTTATTAGGAATAATGGCTACAGTAGGAGATGCGTTATTAGAAGAGTCAAAAAATTCAGCAGTTTTTGGAACGCAAGCAAATGCCATAGTGAAATTTGCAAGCGGCAAGTGCGGTACGTTCAATGAGATGATCGGATGTGATAAATAGGCTTTTTGGTCATTTTAGGCTTACAGTGAGATCAGAACAACAGTTCTACCTCTTTGCTTGCTTTTTACTATAGATGCTTGCAGCTGTATGGTGTTTTGATCAGATTGTTGTCCACAGTGATCTAGAAAAACTTCTCACACACCTTGTGCTATCAAAAATTAAGACGAAAATTTGGACGTTATGAAGTACTTACATTTTCAATTTAACCAGTGAGACTGCGCCATTGGAAGAGTCTACATTTATTGAAACAGCAAAAAGAGTAGACTTTGAAGTTACAAGACACTGGAAATAAAGAACTTAACACAGCTGATATTTAAACTTCGCTTATTGGTCTTTTTTCTACCGCCAATCCAGATGTTTTTGAAA